ATTCAAAATAATAATGTGCTGAATTAAATTATACAATTAAAAAAAAATTTTTTTTTCATTATTGTTTTTATTTCCGAACTTATTTTTCTACCAAGTATTATTTATTTTTGGTCATTGTAAAAAAAAGTTGAAAATATCATTTTAGGCTCTCGATTAATTTATATTTTGACTCATACAATTTGATATAAGAAAAAATTATCCGTGCTTTATTTTAGACGAAAAATTCTGATTTAATTTTCCTTTTTTTTATTAATTTTCTGTTTATGTTATGTAAAAAAAATTAAATTTGTTGGTGATTAATTAATTTTACATTTAAAATTTTTAAGTTTTCAAGTGTATTCGGCCCTAGCGTGTTAGGCTAATAGACCGAGAACTTCCGAGATTCAATTTATCGAGAATGATAGGTTCGTCTAAATAAATTGATCTAGTTAAATAATTTTAAAACATATATTGTTCAAATTAGATTAATAATATTAGTTAAATTACAATTATTACACAGCGATTGAAGGTTAATATTTTCTTTCGTATAGTGAGTTTCAATATAACTAAGCTCACAAATACTAATAATTCAAATTGTATACCTGATTTGTTGACATTCGTCGTTGGTATGTTGAAAATTTAGTTTAAATCTTACACGAGATTTCAATGAAACTTGGAAAAAACCTTTAGACGATATTGTAACACTAGGACGTCTAAGACAACGAGAAAGATTTTTGGTGAAAATCGTAAAGGTGTCCAATTTTAAGGCGTTAGTAATTTCCACCAATTGGGGGAAACAATGTCCAATTATTTGTCTATTTTCTTGGGCCCTAGCATACCTGTCCATGCCTGTTCATGCTAAAGACCAAATATGCTAAGAAAAAATTTTTTAATATGTTCAGTGTATGCACATTAATTTCGATTAATAAATTTGTAAATTATCAATAAACGGTATATTTTATTATTAAATAAATAATAGTATTTTCATTATCATTAAAGATCTACCATAGGGTAAATTTAATTAACTTTTCTAGGCATGAACTGGCCTGATCAGACCTGAGCGTATTTAAACCTTCAGACATGAACAGGCCTGATCAAACATGAACGGGCTTGAGCGTATTTGACGCTTCAGACATGAGCAGGCATGAACAGACATGATCATGTCTAATTTCAGGCCTGATCATACATGAACAGTCATGGTCAGGTCTGATCATTTTTTCCCGGGATATTTGACCAATTACATTACAAATAGTTTGCAACACATATATTTGTTATATTTATCATCTAAATTGAAGAATAGGATTTAACTGAAAATTTTTTACAAAATTAATAATTTTGTTAATTTTCACTGTCATTAAATTTTCATTAACCCAATGGTATCATAAATTTCAAAATTAAAAACTTCATAGCTTGTCAGGTATTTATTGTGTTTAATTTGTTCGGAAACGAATAGAAAGATTATGACTCAGGTCAAATAATTTCAACATCTGCTCCTTTTTCCCCTTATCCCATTATACTTTTCTTTGTCTCAATTTTGTTCTGTTCATACGATTGAAAAAAATTAAAATGAATTAAAAACTTTCAATTTGTATCAATTCATTTCAATCGGTAAATGATCCTTATATATTTCTTTCCGCACCTGTAATCCCTACAATAAAAATACATGACAGTTTGAAGTTAGTCAATAGTCGAAAAAATGAGACCTGATTCCTTATTGGTAGAATATAAACCCTCCTCAGTTACTATTGGTCAATCTCCTGGTACGTGAACATATCAATATATCGATATAAATCGAACAGGATAAATTCATTCGAGAATTTCGATAGGGGGCGCGCGAATGCGCGCCGTTAAAAATTCTATTAGAGAAAAATTAAAAGGAAAATTCTTTACAAAAATCAATCAGAACTCATTTTCAAGGGAGATTGTCTTTACTTTTTCTCGTCTCTGATATTTTGGCATCTCAAAAATTTTGCCGCCCCTCGAATCATGCCGCCCTAGGCCCGAGCCTCGTGGGCCTAGGCGCAAATCCATCACGGCACCTTTCAAACTCTGCACTCGAAAATAGGCATGGAGTTTAAGGGACAAACTTTAAAAACAATCTATTTCAAAATTAATTTTTGAAATAGATTCTAAAATTAATTTTTTTTATTTTCCACGTGTGCATGGAAAAGGTATCTAAATATATAATATCTTGTATTTATTTTTTGAATTAATTAATTGCCTAATTATCAAAACTCTGCTAAACTTTGATTCATTTCTCTATTTTAATAATGAAAGACTTTATAAATTTCATTTTTATAATTTATATAATATTCGTCAATATTAACAGCAGTGCACGCACGAAATAAAAAATTTCAATTAATAATAATATTATATAATAATTTTATCAAGTAATTAAGTCTCATAATTAGTTATTTAATTATCGAACTTGGACTGGAGTTCATTCTTCTATTGAAAAACGATAACCTTAATTTGTTTAGATTTTTTGTAACTCTCTAAAAGTGATGATATCATGGTTACTAGTTACATATATTATTTATTAACATATATTTTATGTTTAGAAGAATCTAGATACTATGATATGATGTATGTATGACAGATCAGATACTTTTTACTCACTAATTAATTTGAGATATAATAATTTACTTAAATATTAGATGTTAGTTAAATTGTTAAATGTTACTCCAATAGTTGGTTAATTATTTATCGATATTCATTTATGTAACAAATAGTACGGTTATTGGTTCAATTTTATGATCTTATTTTAGTTTCATAATTTATGACCTCTTGGAAATGTTTGACTAAAATGTCTACATAACTATGAAAACCCTTGAAGGACATTTATTTCATGTCTTTCTTCTATTAGCTTTCACAAGGGTTTAGTTATCGAGTAACGAGTGCCCAAGCTTACTCACGTACTTTTTTATAGTTCTAAGAATAAGTATTGACAAAGTTAGTTGTTTATTTTATTGCTTGTTTTAAAAGAACTATATACACGGAGAGAAAAATATGGAAATCATTCCTATAATTTTAATGAAATATTTTTCTATACCATTTTAGGAGCGATTAGTTAAATTATGGGAATTATACCCATAATTTTTAGGAAACGTTACTATAATTATGGGAATGGTTCCTATAATTATAGGAACGATACCTATAATTATAACTGTAATATCGGCATGATTCCCATAATATATAGGAATGGTTCCCATAATATATAGGAATAGTTTCCATATATAATATTATAGGAACCATTCCTATAATATTATGGGAATCATTCCCATAATATTATAGGAATGATGCCAATAATATTGGAGTAATTTTTTTTTCACACACCACTGTGGTATTTAATTAATTACTTTTCACTAGATTTATTTTTTTTTTGATTAAGTGATTCTTTTTTTTATAATATATAAATTGATAAAAAAAGTTATCAGTAATAATATTTATCATTATTATCATTATGAAATTTTTTACTCTAGTAGAAAGATACTAATTTTTAATTTAATTAAAAAAAAAATTTTATTAGCAAAAAAATACATAATAATTACTTTATATTTTTGAAGTGATTGCTTCATTATTAAGAAAATAAACTTTTTTCTATTATTATGTACGTTATTCCCATAATATATTGAAGCTATTCCATTATTGTATAGGAACGTTTCCAATAAATTATGGGTATGGTTCCCATAATGAGTACAGGATTAATGCCTATAATGATAATTTTATTATAGGATCCATTCCCATAATTGTTGGAAAGATTCCTATAAATTTCTCTCCGTGTACTTACTTAAATTTATGTGTTACAACGATTTTTGAGGTCTAAATAACAAAATTCATTATTTATAATTTATTATTAATATGCTTCAATAATTCAAATTATAGTTAATTCCCGCGTAAGGTGCCAACAGCGACACCTATGATTTCGTCGGACATAACAGGACATAGATTTGGTCAGTCCAATTTTCTAGTTTATTCTACTTATATCCTGTATCCTAATTACTTTGTTTATTTCTTTAATACTTATTTTGTTAAGAACATTAATTATAAATGACGTTAGCAACATTTGTACTTATTTAGATGAATATTCAGTTCTAGTAGATAGTTGTTGCAAAATTTCGGGAAAAGGCTAATTTCCACGAGGTAAATCTGAAAATTTCCTTGTTTATTTATTAATGTAAAACGTCAATAAAGATACGTTTGATTAATTAACCAAAAGTGATTAAAATATAAATATTACGTTTGTGTTACTTTTATATTTGTAAGGTTAATCGTTGATAATTGTTAAAAAAAAAAAAAATAATTTTATTTTAATAAAAAATTATAGATTACTAATTTCATTATTTTATTTTTTCTTAAATATTGATATCAACTACAATTGCTAAAATTCTGTGACACTGAAGTTGACAGACGTTAGAAATTTTTTTATAATTTTGTAGGAATTAAATTATTATAAAAAAAATTTTATTGAAAAATTCCATATGTGAAAATTAATAAAAATTGCAAGTGAAAATTTTTAGAATTTTTTTATTGTAATTGATTTGTTGAAAAAATTTTTAAAAGTAACATCTGACGCCTAACTTCAGTATTATAAAATTCTGTGATTTAAAAAAATTCATAAATATTTGATCTATGATAATTTTTGTAATTTTATCACTTGAGTCAATTATATTTTGTTAAAATCATATAATTCTTTGAATTTTTAAAACCAATCAATTATTATTAAAAAATAAAAATTGTTTTTAATTCTTACTTGTAATATTTTTAAATTTCTACTTAACTATACCCTATTTATTTCTATTAATATACTTACCTTTTTTTATTTTCAATAATCAACTTATCGGTTTTTAAAATTTGTACTAATCAACTGTATTCATTTTTTGTTGCAGGTAAAATATGAGCGATGCCCATCGTAATAAACAGAGCTTGAATTGATGATATAAAAAATTTAAGTTTGACCATTATTGCTCAATGAGTTAATTATTTATCAAATTACACATTTTATTACTAGTATATAAATAATGAATTACGGAATTGATTGGGAAGCTGAGCAACGTCAAACGTTGCTAGGAACTCGTGCAACTCTTGATAGAGCAGCTCAATCAGTGGCACGTTCTCAAACAGTTGCTGCTGAAACAGAGCAAATTGGTCAAGAAGTAATTGCTGAACTAGGTGTACAAAGAGAGACGTTAATACGTACAAGAAGGAGATTATCTGAAACAGATCAGGAATTAGCTACTTCAAGAAAAATAATGCGATTAATTGGTCGAAGAGTTTTGACTAATAAAATTGTATTAATTTTGATAATAATATTAGAGGCTGCTATACTTGGCTTAACTATTTATCTAAAATTTTTTAGCAAAAAATAATATAACTCTTTATTTATTAAGGTGCATTTATCTGTAAAATACGAAATGAGTGAAATTGTTGTAGGAAAATTTATAACAATTATAAATGATTAATATATTTTATAATAATACTGTTAAGAGATTAATCAAATAAACATTATAAAAATCATTTATTATATAATTGGTGAATTTTATTATTTACAAAAGAATTATAATTTTTATTCATTAGTATAAAATGCTAATATCCTTTTGAAAACTTCTGGATTATAACCTTCTAATACAGGTCTTCCTTTAACATACATAGCTGTATCAAAAAGATCTATTTCTGGCATAGACCACCAGAAATTTTTTGGACCTTCAGTACCATTTATATTCAAAGTGTTTAATTGAAACACCGAAAAATGAAATGCTTGACTGTTTGATTGTACGCATTGAATCGTTATTGGTTCTGGTAATTCTTTAACATCGGCTCCATATTTTTGATAAGCACAAGAAGCCGCTGTTGTAAACGATTTTACAAGAGATCTCGCTATAAGTTGATTTTTTTTTACCGGTAATTCTGTTATGTTCTTTACATTCTCTTCATCGTGATACACAAATATCGTATGAGGATTGATCCATGGAGACGATTCAATCACAGCTAAATAAAGAAAATACTTTTAGTGTTTATTCTGTAATTATACACAGAAAGAAAAATTTCTTGACTGGAGAACAAAATTCTTAGCTCAAGAAAATTTTCGGGTGCCTGAAGGAAGACCAAAGTTGTGTTGGCCGAAGTAAAAATTTTACTTTAAATTCTATTCTTGGTGAAAGTAATTTTTTCTTAATCCAAATTATAAATACTTGATAAGTACAATAAATTTTTATATTTGATCAAGATTTTTAGATAATTTAGGGAAGCAGCGCCACCTACTTCAGCTAAGAAAAAAATTTTCTCATGAGAAAATTTTTCTCTTGAATATTTGATACCCATTTTATACTATTTTAGCGTGCAATTATGCATATTGAATGAAAAAAAAAAAAAAAAAAAATGGTTCAATATTATTTGATCTTCCCATTTGACATGTTACTCAATAAAAATATTAATGATATTTTATTTCTCTCTTTATATTTAATTTTTCGGAGCAAGAGAAGAAATTTTCTCAAGACAAGAAAATTTACTTTAATCAAGAACTAAATTTTTTGGAGCAAGAGGTTGAATTTTCTCAAAACAAGAAGATTTTCTTGACTCAAATAAATTTTTTTTGTATCAAGATACGTATTTCTTAAAGCAAGAGAATTAATTTGTTGGAATAAGTAAAATTTCTTGTATCGAAAAAAATTTTTCTTTTCGCTCAAGAAAATAATTAGGAAGAAAAATATTTTCTTATCTCAAGTGAACCTTTTTTTCTGTGTAAAAGTAAGAGATAAAACGAAATTTTTTACTCACGATATAAATGAACTGGCTCATAAAAATGTTCTTCGGGGAAATAAATAATAGAACTAAGCGGATAAATTTCTGGTATAGTTTTATCTTTCAGGTCTTCCGTAATTTCTATAGGAGTCAAACCCTTTGTAGCTGTTACCATGAAGTCAACTGTCATATTGAACATTAATAAATCTCCGTCTTTTTCTGAAATGAACAATAATTGAGATAATATACTATGTACATATTTGAAAAAATAATAATTAAATAATTTTAATAGTTACCAAGTGGGACTTGAACTTCTCCATTATGTACTAATTGTCGTTTCCGAACAATTGAAGGCCCACACAATAATTCACAGAGTTGAATCATACTTTGTGCTAGGTTTCGTCTATAAAAAATAAACGCATTATTTTTTTTTTCTTTTTCAATATTAATTATCAATCCGAAAAAATTAAATTAATCTGATTTTTAAATATATTATAAAGATGTTAAGGATATCATTAATTAATAAAATTACTAGCACTTTTACGGTGAGATTAGCAATAAATATTTCAAAAAAAATTTCAGATCGTAAATTTTTTGATCAAACTAATCGAACATCAATATTTTAAATTTAAATAAATACAAGTGAATAATTAAATAAATAAAAATAATCTATTTACGATTTTCTAATATCAGTAAGTCCATAATCTCTTGGAAAATTCCAAGCTGGTCTCGCAGGATCTTTTTTTATAGGTAATTTTTCCTGATGTGTATCAAAAATATTTGACGTTTGAATAATTCTTTTGACAATATTGTCGACTTCTTTCGAATTATCTTTTATAAGACCTTCAATTTTATCAGGTAATCCTTCTTTTACGAGTAATGTTTTAGTTAGTACTTGAGCTTGATCTGTACCCATCACTAGAAGATCATTGGTGTTTAGTTTAAAACATGGTCTTTCTTTCCAATCGGGATGATTCTCGTCTTTTATTTCTCGATATCCGATAGTAGAGTGCTCGAAAAATGGTCTTGCGCTAAAAAATGAATGAAATTATAATAATAATAATAATAATAATATAATAATCACTAGAATTAATAATTATTCAATAATAAATGTTTAATACTCTATGCGAGGTTTTGGTGGATTTAGGAGTTCTTCTGGATCAATAACCGATATATCCAACTCCTTAAGTTTATGATCAGTTCTTGTTTCACCTAATGTTTGCCGTGAATGAAAAAACCAATTGTATTTAAACATCCTTCCTAAATGTTGCCTAAGTAATACTTGCGTGATTTTCATTTTTAATTAATCTGAAAAATAAATAAATAAATAGTTTTGATAAACTTGTATCATGAATTAGAGGTTATAAACAACAAGTACTTAAGAGCCATTACAATTTTTCAACAATAACATAAATTTATTAATTATATTAACTTTTAGCAGCAATTGTTTATAATTGATAATAAATATTAATTGTTATTAAAAAACTCCAAAAGAAACTTGTTTTTATTGGAGTAAAAAAAACCACTAAAGCGCCATCAAAATAATCTTTATACATGTAAAACTTTTCATTGTGTGCAAGTTTTTACAATATATATATATATATATAAGTTATATCAATAATGAACATTCGCCTTTACTCTGTCGGTTTTTTTTTTGAATAACGATATTATTTATATATAATTAAATAAAAAATGTTAACAAACTTTAACTAATGTGACAGTAGGTAATAAAATTATATTTTTCATCAATAAAAGAAACGAAACATTTTTTTAATAACCGATTCAATTAATAATTAAATTATGAGGTTGTTTTTAAAACACCAATTTATCCAGAAATATTTGTCGTGTCAACAAATAAGTCGAAATTTAAAAACATGGAAAAAACCAGATGGGTTTCCTACTGAAATTGTTGTTTATAATCCAATAAACAAACAAAAAGTTCCGTTAATACTAAAAAATGATAAAATCGCTACATGGTACATGTGTGGACCGACAGTTTATGATACTGCACACATCGGTCATGCTTGGTAAAACATCTTCAATATTATTATTAAAATAATTGTATTAATTAGAGAAATTATAATATCTATTGTTTCAGTTGTTACATGAGATTCGATATTATAAGACGAGTACTGGAAAATTTTTTTGATATTAAAGTTATTGCAGTCATGGGTATTACTGACATCGATGATAAAATAATAAATCGATCAAAAGGATCATCGCAATTTTTAGATTGGAAAGAACTAGCTAAATTTTATGAGCAAGAATTTTACCAACAAATGTTATTATTGAATATAAAACCACCGTATTTATATTGTAGAGTATCGGATTATATCTCACAAATTATTCAATTTATTAATAAAATTATGTCTTTAAATTTAGCTTACATTGCTAAAGATGGTATGATAATTTTTATATATTCAATTATTAATTATATACACAATTAAATTAAATTACATTTTTTTTTTTAATTTAAGGATCAGTGTATTTTGACTTACAAAAATATGATAATCATGGAAAATTCGGACGTCAATTCGAACACGAATCACACCCGATTAAAAAATCAAGCCTTGATTTTGCTCTATGGAAATCAGTAAAGCCTGGTGAGCCTTCTTGGGAAAGTCCTTGGGGACCAGGTAGGCCAGGTTGGCATATTGAATGCAGTACGATGGGCAGGTTTAATTAATTACCGATGATTTTTTTAACATAATACCACTATAAAATTTTTAGTAATATTTTTTTTTTCTATCAGCACAACTTTGGGAAGTAATATTGATATTCACAGTGGTGGCCACGATTTAATATTTCCTCACCATGAGAATGAAGAAACGCAGTCTTGTTGTCATCATGGAACAGACCAGTGGGTCAATTATTGGCTACACAGTGGACTTTTACAGTTTAAAAATGAAAAAATGTCAAAAAGTTTACAAAATACAAAAAGCATCAATGAGTTACTTGAAGAATATACGGCGAATCAGTTTAGATTATTATGTCTGATAACCCACTATCGATCGGGTAATTGTTGTTAACTTGTAGTTTATGATTTTCTCTGTTCATCACAATCTTATCTTTAATTTTTAAAACTAATTTTAGCGATAGAATTCTCTGATCTTACCATGCATAAAGCAGTTGCTCTGTTAAAAAAATTTGAATTTTTCCTTAATGATTGTCGGAATTATACAGCTGGGAAAATAACTAGTAAAAATATTGATGAGTCTCTCGTTTATAGTGTAAGTATATTATTTTTTAATGTTATTTTATGACGATAGAAATTATTAAATTTTTTTCTTGTTTTAGACATTAAATACAACTAGAAAAAATGCTCAAGAACATTTAGCCAATGATTTTTCTACTTCGCCAGTTATCGCTGAATTATCAGATTTAGTTGATCTTGTAAATAAAATGTTGAATCCTATTCAGGTAAGTTAAAAATTTATTGACAATAATTATGCTTTATCAATTTCTATTCATAAAAAAAATTTTTAATGTTATTAATGTATTGAAATATGGAAAATTTTTAATTTTTTAAATTCAACAGATAGTTGAAAATAATATAGAAATCAAAAACTCTCCATGTATTGCCGCAGTATCAGTATATGTCGTTGAGACTTTATCAAACTTAGGGATTTCTGCATCAGTTGAAAATGATGCTGATCATAATAAAATTAGTGATATAGTTGAGACATTAGTTAAATTTAGGACTGTTGTACGAAATAAATCGCTCAACCAGAGCCCCAAAGATGTAGAGTTATTAAATGTATGCGATGAAGTGAGAAAAGAGATTGCTGCTCATGGTGTCAAAATAAAGGTAATTTCATTTTTTTTTAAAGAAAATTCTACTTAAATACTAATTGCTATACTTGATTTTTAATGTTTCAGGATTTCAAACAAACTTCTACTTGGACTTTTGTGAAAGATCAATGTAACAAAATGTAATATACAAAACTTTTTCATTAAGAAATCGAAATACATAATAAATTTTTTACAATAATATTTATCAATTTTTATCATCGTTATTTGTAAGCTTTGCTTTTTTATTTTTGTCATCGGACTCTTCGGTGATCTTTCGTTTTTTCAGACCTTTCATTTTTCTAGTTTGTATTTTGTCAATGTGTTGAACTCCCAAATGAATCCTTCCAAACTTGGTACCGAAATTATCAGAACTAATGTTTTTCTTGGCCTTGATTTTATATTCCTTAGGCTTTTTGCACGATTGTTTAAACAAGTCATCAGACGCTAATTTTGATCTTCTAACTGCTAAATCCATACTGGGTCCTATTTCCACCAATTCTATTCTGGGAACTCTTGTGCTGGATTTCTTCAATAAAACTCTAAAATTAAAAATAAAAAAACAAATTAATTATATTTTAATAATTATTTTCAAAAATTAATTAATAATAGTTTAAACTTATAAAGTAAATGAAATTGATTTAATACAATTTAATTTAAATTAATTCTATTGATATGTTAATACTCTTTTTACATATTTTTATTTTTATTTTCTTTTTTCACCCATAACCAAATTTAATTGATGTAAATCTAATGTATAAAGCCGATTGGCGTATGAATAAATAAATAAATAAATAATAATACTTAAACTTACTTGTAATTTCTTAGATGAATTTTACCATCTACAGCTGTGAAACTGAGGACTTGCTCTAATCCTTGGAGCCTAATATTATCAACGATTTCACGTTGAAACATATCAATAAAAAGATTTTTAATTTTACTATACAAATCGTTGTTTTCAAATAAATCTCCGTTAAAGACGAGCATCGGCTTAAGTCCAGAAGATATTTTATCTATTTTAAATTCATTTAAACCTTTGTAATTTTCAACTCCAAACTCTACCATGTCCAGAAGACTGTGTTCAAATGTTCTTCCCATTATAAGATTGTGGGGACGTTTTTTGTTATTCGATACAAACATAAACAAAGGTGCATTATATTTTTTACAAAACTTTTCAATTGGAGCTATATTTTCAAAAGGAAGTATATCATTTTTCTTCTGCATGATTAATCCACCAGGTGATTTTAGTTTGTACTAAAAAATAATTTTGATGTCATTATAATTTGTCAAAGTAAATTTTTAAATAATTTACTTACTAGGTCTTTCATAGCATCAAAAGCGTATTTCGAAGCAGTCTGGCCTTTAAGGAATATAGCTTCTTTAGCATCTTCAATTAATTTCGGTTCTTTTTTCAAAATAGCTCTTTTACTCTTGGCCGACTTGGGTTTCCTAAATATTGACAAATAAATATAAATAAATGATAAGCAAAAATAATAAAAACAATTTTTTTCAGTAATTAATTAAATATAAATACTTACACTACTCTCGGTGTTATTGACATTTTTGTAATTTTTCAATTAATCAAATTTAATTATTATTTATTATATAGTTGCAAATAAACTAAAACACGTGGTCTAACCTTAAACTATTTACTTGCACAACTTTATTACTGCTCATTATATTATAGTAGGTGTAAGGTGTAACAGGGGTCTGTAGGGTCTGTCTGACACTACTAACTATAGCAAAAAATGTGGCAACATTGGAAACTCAAATAATTATTTTTACTACAATCTATTCCTTTTTATTAATTATTTTTTTCTTCATTCATTTACATTTAAATATATATATAAAATAAATCAAACTTTATAGATAGTAAAAAAAAATTAAATTATTCGGTACTGATAAATGTTTTTAAATATATTCTAAAATATTATTTAGTACAGTACAAGCTTGTAAAAAAAACGAGGCTTGTTTATCTCTCTCACTCTAATACATTCGAAAATGTTCGCGGCAAAAGAGTGAGAAAGATGGATTTGTTTCGACCAATAAAATAGCATTGTATATCGATCTACGCCTGCGTATGACCAACCAATTTTGTAATATACATGTAAACATGTGTATGAACGCATATGGGTGTGCATTGCATTTGCCCACAAACAAGTAAAAGTAACTCAGGGTTATGGCGTCGGGTGAATTCTGTGTCACATCAATTGGATGAAAATTTGTTTATAAACCAAGTTCTTTTATATATTTTTGATGTCTGTTATTAATGTTAAAATTGTTATAAGATTCTCATGATATAGGTAAGATATAAGTCGTAATATAATTGGTATTTATTGAATTTTATTTGCTATTTGCTATTTGCTATCTATTGAAGCAAGAATGTAAGCGCGTCATGGCGGCAAATTTTTCTTACGAATTAACGTAACTTGTATTACATGACCCTATGGATATTAAATGCAAATAATAAATAATTTTTACTCGGCAGTAGTTATTTTTATTAATATTTTTTGTCAATTTATTTTGATGAATAAATATAATGTGTCGTCGAGTTACAATTAATTTTTGTGGTTACAGTTTTTTTGGTACAGTCAAGACTGCAATTTTAATATTATTAAACATTTTTGTTTTTATTATAAATTTTATTGTTATACAATTTGTATGTTACATAACTGTACTTTAATTTGAATATTTATTTTTTTTTTTTTTTCTAGTTGATTTGCAATGCATAAACGACGCAGAACATCGTCCGTAGCTAGTAGAGGTACTGAGGATGATCCGGAGGAGGTGATACCCGAGCCAACTAAGCGAAGAAAAAAATTAGATCCTGTAAGTTATTATTTTCATGATAAATTTATTTTAATAGCATAAGTTGGATAATTAATAATGTAATGATTTATTATTAAACAGAGTGACTTGTGCCAACAATTGTATGATATTATAAGAAATCAAAAGAAAGAAGATGGGACTCTTTTATGTGATGCTTTTATTAGAGTACCAAAAAGACGACAAGAGCCAAGATACTATGAAGTTGTTACAAATCCCATAGATTTGTTGAAAGTCCAACAAAAATTAAAAACCGATGAATATCGCGATATGGAAGATTTAGCTGCTGATGTTCATCTGCTGATCACTAATGCTAAAGCTTTTTATAGTCGTACTTCACCAGAGTTCAGAGATGCTACAGATTTATGGGAGTTGTGTGTAAATACGAAAAATCGTATAATGGACGAGTACGAAGAGACAGAACCTAAAGGTAAAATAATATTAAAAGTGGGTAGATTATCAAGGAAAACAAATGTAAAACAACCGGATGACGCGGAAGATACTTCTGAGAGTTCAACAAATCCTGATGAAGAATCAATGCAACCTTATGAAGATCTTTTTACAACTGTTATGACAGCAACAGATCCTACTGATAATAATAGAGTATTGCACACAGTGTTTCAATTAAAACCATCTAAAAAACTTTATCCAGAGTATTATGACGTAATTGAAAATCCCATTGATTTAAAAACAATTGCCAGAAGAATTCAAGAAGGTACTTACAGTTATTTAAATGAAATGGAACGTGATTTAATGCTTATGTGTCGCAATGCATGTCAATTTAATGAACCAGGCTCTCAAATCTATAAAGATGCTAAAATCTTGAAAAAAATAATAACAGCGGCTGCTAAAAAACAAGACAGTGGTTCGAGTAGTGTGTTTTCAAATAAATTAGCAACACCATCAACTCGTAGCAGTAAACGAGGTAATCGTAGCTTTGCTCAATCATTAATTGCGCAAACAGCAACATTACTCGATGAAGACGAAGAAAGTGACGATGAAGATGATGAAACCGCTGAAATTGAAGAAGCTGACAATGCACAATGGCAACTCTTTCAAACAATTAGAACTGCTCCAACTAATCAAGGAGTTAGAATGAGTGAATTTTTTTGGAAATTACCGTCCAGACGAATGTATCCTGATTATTACAAAATGATTAAAAATCCAATTTCCCTGTTACAAATAAGATCTAAAATAAAAAAAGGAGAATATGGTACGGTCAGTGAGGTTGCCGGTGATATGAATATTATGTTTGAAAATGCTAAAAAATACAATGTTCATACCTCACGTTTATACAAGGTAATTACATAATTATTAAACATTATTTTGTTTTGATTTTTTCGTTGATGATTTAATATTTTTTTTTTTTTTTTTTTTTTACTGTTTAGTGTGCTGTGAAACTACAAAAAATAATGCAAGAAAAAGTTCAGGAGCTTTTAGAATTTGATCAAGATTCAGATTCAGATTGTGGATCAGAGTCAAATTCTCAAACAAAATTAATAAAACGTGCCTCAAATGTTTTAACTCGGGGAAAATATAAAGATAATATACCGTTAAAAAAGCGTTTATATGCATTAGTTAAGTGTGTCATAGAATACGTGGTAAGTAAATCCAATTATAAATAATGTATTAATTTATTTAATAATTAAAATTATTTTTTATTTTGTATTATTATAGTGTGAAGATGGTCGGCAGCCAATGTTGATGTTTATGGAAAAACCATCGAAGAAAATATACCCCGATTATTATCAAGTGATAAGTGAGCCAATCGATATGCTTGCAATTGAGGCAAACATTAAAGCTGAAAAGTATCAAAATGAAAATGAATTGATACAAGATTTTAAATTAATGTTTAATAATTGCCGGCAGTACAATGAAGAAGGATCATTAATTTATGAAGACGCAAATACATTAGAAAAAGTTTTAATGGACAAAGTTAGAGAGTTGGGACCTCTACCGGATTTAAAATCTTCTGGACCTATTAAATCAACAACATCAACACCCACACGTAATGTAGGAAGACCAAAGAAAGTAGTACCACTTCATTTACAAAAATTACGTACGATGTATGACATTATCAAAGATTACCACGATTCAAAAGGCCGACAATTGTCATTAATATTCATGAAACTACCGAATAAAAATGAATACCCAGATTATTATGAAGTTATTAAACAGCCCATTAACATGGAAAAAATAGCATCAACATTGAAAACAAACGGTTACGAAAGTTTAGAAGAATTAGTGTCAGATTTTATATTGATGTTTGATAATGCCTGCAAGTACAATGAACCAGATTCACAAATATATAAAGATGCCTTAATTCTACAACGACTGGTATTACAAACTAAGCTCCAACTAAGTGAAGATGATGAAAATGTTCCAGATGTGCCTGCAGCAATACAAGAAATTTTAGCAACTATTTTTACTGCTCTGTACAATCATCAGGATGAAGAAGGTCGATGTTATTCTGATTCAATGTCAGAATTACCAGAGCATGATATTATTGACGGCAAAAAAATTCGAGGGCTCTCTTTAGATTTAATAAAACGTCGATTAGATCGTAGTGTTTACAAACGTTTGGATAGATTTCAAGAAGATGTATTTACGTGCTTGGAAAGAGCTAGAAAATTATCACGAAGTGATTCTCAACCGTTTGAGGATAGTGTTGAACTTCAGGCATTTTTCCTTCGTACTCGTGATGAAGTAACGCGTAATGGTGATCTATTACATTCGCCGGCATTAAATTACACTTTAATGGATCTATCAACTCAAGTTGCTGAACTAAAACGCTTAAAACATCAACAAGAATCAAATTTATCTCCCGAAGAAGAAAGCTGCGATGGAAATGAAACCAAAGAGTCTGGATCAAGTCCTGTAGCTAGTGGTAATGGTAGTGAAAATGGTGGGGCTATGAGTTTTAATCAAGAAATTTATCGTAATGGAGATTTTGCTTATATTGAACCAGTTGAACGTGGCATGGAGCCCAGTGTTGTGCTTATTGAAAAACTTTGGACTAATTCAGAAGGCATACAAATGCTCTATGGTAACTTATTTTACAGACCTAGTGAAACTTATCACGTAGCGTCGCGTAAATTTATTGACAAAGAGTTATTCAAAAGTGACGCTCATATTGCTGTCCCTTTATCTAAAGTCGCTGGCAGATGTTGTGTATTGAGCGTTAAAGATTTTTTTAGAATGCAACCAGAAGGTTTTCTTGAAAAGGATGTTTATGTTTGTGAATCAAGATATTCTACGCGTGCACGAGCATTTAAAAAGATAAAATTATGGAATTTTGATCCAGATCATTTAAAACTAGTCTCACGAGAAAAAACATTAGAACCTAAACGTAATATATCCGTTTATAAAGAACGATTAGAAAAACATAAAGAAGAAATAGCTGAATTAGAAGAAGGGGAAAAACTTACAGAAAAAGAAAAGCCAAATGTTGTATTATTTAATGCCGATGATTCAGATAATACTTATTATGAACAATATAATACGTGTACAGGTATAGTTAAAACTGGAGACTTTGTTTACGTTGCGACTGACGGTGGAAGACAACAAATAGCCCAAGTTGATTCAATATGGTCAACAAAAGACGGTAAATGTTATTTCAGAGGTCCATGGTTACTTACACCTTCTGAAATTCCTCATGCGCCAACTAAATTATTTTATAAACAAGAACTTTTTCTTTCTGTAACCGATGCAACTCATCCATTTGTTGCCGTTATG